ATTTGTGCTCATATTATATATCTGAAGACAAATACACAAAATGCGCAGATAAAGTGTATTCTTCGAAAGAATTCGATGCAGGATGCGGCGGTAAGATATAAATAGATATGTAATGATATTATCACGAATGACAAGTGATGAGGAGGCGAATAACCGAATAAACTGAACGGTTAATGGGGCGAACTTGAGCCCAAGACAAAATAGAGAAAGGTTAGCGTCCCAGGCTTCGATGTCGGCGAAACACCAGGATCGAGCGCTCGGGCGAAAACCGACTCCGCTCGCCATGGGTTTCTGGAACATTCGGCGTAGAACTATTTGTGCGTAGAACATTCGGAACTCGATCAGACGAGAATGTTCTCGAACTTACGAGAACGCCATGTTGAAAGAATAAATAAAAAGACAGTCCGCTGACTGGAGACAAACTTCGACCTTCCGGGCGACAGTCAAGCGCGGTAACCACTCGGTAATCACAGATAAATAGAACGAAGTACAAACGAAGATTCTAAGAATACTAATATAAGTCCCAATGGGGCTTCGCCGAAAAGTGACTCGGGAGGCTAATGTTATACTGTAAAACCCTTTATTTTCGCGGCCCCTATTTTTCGCGAATCGGTCACAGATGACATAATCGCGACCACTAAATTTCGCGAATTCCAGACGCCTGCATTGAAAATATTAAGGACCGAAATTTTCGCGCGCCCTTAGATTTCGCGAATTCTTCAATTCGCGATATTCGCGAAAATTGAGGGCTCGCAAACATTAAGGGTTTTACAGTATTCGAATTTACGTGCACCTCTTTTGAGCATTCACGTAACAACTCTGTGCCTTACTAGTTGTGCGCTTAACATTTTATTAAACTGCCGTACATCATCGCGAGACTGCTATACCATACGGCACAACTTTACGATTTGGATACATACTTCTGCTGGTTTTGCGAAGATCGCGTTTCGTCAGAAGCCTGAACTGTTTGACTTGGCTTCCACGTGACGTCATCCCACTATATGGCTGAGACAACCAAATCCGGTGATGCAAAGTGCACGCTGCAGAAAGTTCGTGCTCAAAGCAATTGATGTATTTGAGACGAATTATTCTTTGCTTGGTGCAGCGTCGGTTAGGAACGGCGCGAGCGTCTGGCACTAAAAAAACGCGCTTTTTGTTAAGAGTGTATTTGTAAACAAAGTAGCTTCCGGGGCTACGCACTCTGTTCTGTGCCGAAAAGGGGGGGGGGGGGGGGGGGGGGGAGGCAGATGAACTTTTACAACATGGTATGTTTTTTAAACTCCCCCCCCCCCCCCCCCCCGCCTTTTTTTTTTTTTAGGCACTCCACCAGAGAATTATTCTTATTCCTGAGTGACCTCCCTCCTCCGTTTGGGGGCGTTCATTCAACAACTACATCTCTGTCACTTTTTAACAGCGTTCCTCCGTACATTTTACTTTGCACCCAAAACCTCTGGAGTTTTAACAAAATAAGGAGGTGGTCGAACCGCGGGGAAGAACTTGAGAACGATACTCCTGTAAAACTTGAGTGGCCGCTAACGTTCGGTTGTTCCTCTGAGGCCACCAGGATCTTTTTTTTTTCCGGTACCCTTCTCGTATCATTTGTAGTCTCGTGTGACGTCGATTTAATGACTCATTTTAGTACTTGCAATGCTTTTATTCTCTGGTACAACTTTCTGAGGCAGTTCAGCAAAACCGAAAACATGTTTAGGGGCTTCAATAATATGCGCACGTAAAATGTGTTGTAAAACCATTTTTTTTACCACTCTAAATATTGGTAACTACTAAGACCTAGACGTTGATAACTTGCAAATACACCCCTTAGGTGTCTTCTCCGCGCAATGATAGATGCAAAAAAAAAAAAAAAAATAAAGGAAACAACGTTTCTTCTCTTTCCCCGCCCCCCCCCCCCCCCCATCCTCTCAACTCGCAGTTGGAAGCGGCCACACGATCTGACGCTCATTATAACCCGTCAGTGTTCATCATAGCCGTATACGCTGGGCTTCGTAAAGCATAGAACATGGTTTGCGCTTCAGACGTTGTTAGAGTTCGGCTATTCTCAGCTTGGATTGAACACGAGCCATTACCCGGATGTTTGGCGATGCTGTTCGCCATGAGCCTGAGCATTCGACTCGGGCTCATGACGATCGAGTACCTCACGGTGTCACGTGACTCGTGGTGTGAAGTCGTGATGTCATATGCAACCAGACGGTGTCAACAAGGGTAATGAACTAGTGACGTTCTTAATTTAAATTGATTTGACGCGGTGAGTTACGGGACTCATCACGTGACATCACGGGGCCACGTGACGTAACACTAGCTGATAGCATGTCTCGACTCCATGACGTCACGTGACCACGTTATATATGATTAGTCAAAGTTCCTATAAAAAACGCCACGAAAACCTACAATTTCTTATACATTGCAATTCTGTATGTGACAATACCAATACATAGAAATACAGCTGTCAATTTTTTATTATCAAATATTTATTTTGTGTTACTGGCAAAAAAACAAAACAAAAAAAAAATAAAAACGTGAAACATTTTGAACCGGTTGTCGTTATATTTGTTTCTGGTTCGGCTCCGGCCAGATCCAAGATGGCAGTGACGATTTTTGTTCGGTTCAGTTCCGGTTCGGCTAAAAACAACGGTTGGGTTCCGGTTTTCGTTTGGGTCCGGTTCGGTTCCGGTTCGACACTCTGGTCCTCAGGAGGCAGGGGCCAGTCCACTAGACAGCTCGTGCCGTCTCGTGCTCTGCTCGCACGGATCCGCTGCAGGGTTGTCGCGCGTGCAGAAACACTACACTTCCCACAGTACGTGGTTACAGCGCTGGCGTATCAAAACTGACTGGTGAGATTATGGCCTCCGATATTCTTGGTGCGCAAAGCTCTTATCCGGCCCTTCCAAATGCTCGTTTGCCAGGCAGGAGTGCAGCTTCCCCGGAGCTCCTGGAGACGGTGCCGATGCAGAGCCGGCATCCAGTATCTCAAACGCTAAATGTGTGAACATGGTATAACGCTCGCATTTCCGTTAACACTGTGCAGGCCGAGGCACGCGAGCGCGTTGAGACGCTATAAAAGTGCCGCTTAGCTTGCGCGTTGGGTCTGAGGGCTTTTTTTTAACCAGCTTTTGCTAAAGCGAGGCTTCTAGCAAGCCGGCTATGATCATCAGTGAACAGCAGGAAAGATCGTCGCGAAAATTCCACTCAGGAAAAAAGGCCGGAACCGTCAAAGCTCTGCTGATAGCAAAGTCATGGCGATACTGCGTCTGAGGAACTTTTGAGAGAAACGAGAAAAACGGCAGGACGGAAACGATGGGCAGCATCAAACAAATACATTTACTATAAAAGATGATGTAGTTAAATCAATAAATAAACGACTGAATGAATGCAATATTTATTTTCTCCTGTACATGTACCGATGACGGGAGATCGACAAAAAGCCAACACTTGTTGGGTTGACAGGAGCTGCTCTTGCGGCTTCTTGGCGAAACGCACTCTACAATAACATCGGAACGATAACTAATATGTGTCTCAGAAAGATAAAAAAAACAAAAAAAACAACAAAGAAACAAGCATTTGTAGTTATTATTACAATGTAGTAAAAACACACCTTATTGATTTGAGAGCTATGTGTTCTATGCGAATATATTTCCGTATAAAGTTGTTAAGCGGTGACTGTAGACGGTGTGTGATCGTTTGACTGATATAGTTTGATCAACTATCAAGAGCAGTTCACAGATAGTCATGCCGCAAGTTGTTGGCGTCAATGTTTGCGGCTGAATAAGATATGTACGTTAGTTGAGGCATGTTAAGTTTATTTCTAGTTATCGTGGTTCTAAAGTAATAATGTAGGTTTGAAGTACGAAGCCAATGACAAGAACAAAGAACGCGATCTGCGGGGGAATATTGAGCATGACGTTTCGCCTGCCCAGTCTCACAAAGAAAATGGCAATTTTGGATCAAAACGTTTATTGAGATTTCTTATCAGCTCGTGATTCTTTTTTGAACAAACTGATCGACGCGCAGTTTATCTGAAAAAGAACCAGGCCTGCATTTATTCAACGTCTGGCTCGACTTTTAAGGACGAACACTCAGATCTTAACCTACCGCTTCCCGGGAACGCTATATTGAGAACGGTTGGTTAAGTGTGTTATGGTAGCACATCTTTACTCCCTGGGCAGCTAGCCAAGCCAGGGCCAAGCAAGCAAGGATGATGATGATTTTTTTTTTCAACCCTGTAGCTACGCCGCCGCGCCACGGGAACAGACGCGAGACATTTTTTTTCTCTTTGCAGTCATTCCCGACGAATGGTGAGACCGAAATAGAGCTTTTGCTCGACAAGAATCGTGGAGCCCATTATATCATGGGAGTATTGTACTTGATGTACACTCACGTGTACCTTGGCTCTCCTCCTTCACTGTGTAGCGAGAAATTAGGAACTGTATAACATGAGAGCACTGCATATACGGGCTGAAGGGGCCATTCTTCGAACCAAGGTTTCAATGAACATAAGCATTGAAATTCATCCCCGCCAAAACATTTGTTTATTTCGTTGTCCTTTACGCCATGAACAGCAGTGAAGGCGTCCTCAAACTTGGGAAGTCTACCTTTATGGGTGGGGTGTGCGAACACTGTAGTGAGAGGGCATTGATTCTTTCAGAAGAACGTCGGCCAAGCTAAACCCTGCCGCAGTATTTCTAGACTTACTTAAGCCACGGGAATAAAAGTCTTGAGGTTAGGAGATAATCTAGAAGTATTATTGACCTATTATCGTAGGTATAGCATGAAATTCCCTCATTACATTTTTATAATAGCATGGCAGTAAAACATATAACAGACATTGTGATTTGAACGTACACTTTCAAGTACAAGTTTTTCTTCTCGTGTTAAAGACCAGATGTTTTGGTTCCAACTGCCGTTAAAGTTTTGAACTTCGCGATAAAAGAAGGTTTGAACCCGCTCTTCGGTGTCTACCTCTGGAAAAAAAAAGAAGCCTCAAATTTAGAATGGGAGATTTTTATTTTTAATCCAATGATTTTGTTGATACAGTGCTTGGCATTCTAGCAGTGAGGCTCAAAACACACGATCACGGGAAATTCAACTATTTTGAACGAAGTGCTCATTATTCTTTTTTTCTCTAGCTGGGAGACTTTGTTATTCGCTGAAGAGAATGGGCCTTGTGGACACCTCTGCGACCTGAGTAAGGTTGGCGACTGAGGGTCAATATTTTTCTGTAGCTGCAGCTGTGTCCACTTCTTCGTCGTTGATTGAATTAGTTTTGGTCGTGGGGTCAGTTTGAGTGGTAGAACTCGGCTCTTCCGTAGTTGTGGAAGGACTTCGGGGCACACAACTTCCATCCTTGCAAACTCCGTACCTGTGCCTGCGAAGCTGTGGAAAGAAAAAAAGTTAGAAAAACTAATGCCCCTTAACTTGTAGACATTGTTTTTTATATCCTCGGTGCTTCGAAAAAACTGGGGATATTGAAAAAGCGTCCTGTGAAGAAAATAAGTAGTGATTTTAACAAAAAGTTTTTTTTATAATAACGCGGCAATGTTTTAAGTTAGAGCGGGCCTTAGATAGGTCGCTTACATTTTAACACGTCATACTGGTATTGTCATAGCCTTGATTATTATAATAGAAGTTGTAGAGTTTTAACGCCCACATTATTTCCCAGAAATATTCCCTAATCTGTGGCACACATATAAAAAATTCTGTTTCACGACGATTACGGTGAAATTACTGTAATCGACATACCTATCGCGCCATAAAAACAAAAGCAAAACACAAATGTATTACGTTTTGCGCACGAGTTATTACGTTGGGGTTTGCGACACTGGATTAGTTTACATTACTGTCGTTAAAAAAAGTTGATAAGGTACACGTGTATGAGTTTCGTTTACTCCTTTCTCTGCTGAGATTTTTATCACATGGCACCAGAAAGGTGGACGAGACGTGTTTCCGGCTCGTTAATCCGTTTGGCGCGTTGAATTTGTATACTACGAATATATTGCTAGTTTACGACAAACTAGTATTCCAGAAATAAACTTTATTGGTGCACCAGGACGCCCACCGCAGATTCGCTTAGGGTGTAGCGGTTCACGCTAAATCTCACAGAGACCGTGGGGGCCACTCTGATGTTTTACAGTCAGCGACAACTTAAAAACCGCAAGTCGTGGCTTCCTAAGTTCATGGATTTTGCTTCCGTATTCGTTCTCTGGTGCTCTCATCGGCTAATTCTGTAATGTCGTGGACTTTATAGCGCGATTATAAGATTCTCGGTAGCTTATTTTTGGAACATTTTCTTACTAAACTCACCTAGTTTTCTACTAGAATCTTGCATGTAGAAAATAAGCTACTGTAATAGCTTATTTATAGAATTTTTGTTTCTACCCGCATCTTGCTACTTGATGAAACTACTCTGCTTTTTTGAAAGTAAGTTATAAAAATTGAAATTTCCTGGTGGTAGCTTTTCTACCGAATGACAGTTTCAAGATACAACGTGTACAAGACATTGAAGCACTTTCTTTCTCGGCATGTGCGTGGGTACAGCAGTTGAACTGTTAGGTTGAGCTGCGATGTGTTTAAAACACACAGTCATGCGGACCACAATCTTGGCTACATGTATCTGCGTGTGTAGATGAACTTACCCTGCAAGGAGTGCCATCTGGTCTGTTTACAAAGCGATCTTCCCAATAGGAATAATAGGCGCAGCTGTATGAGATCCACTCCCGACGTCCAACTGGGGTTTCTTCCCTCACCTGCGATCAAGGGTGTGTTGAGAAACCATTTTTAAAGACACAAATCCATGTTTCTTTTTTATTTTATTTTTTATTTTTTTTATTTTTTTTTTAGGGCGCAGCTTTTAGGCGCTTGTTTTTGGGTTGAGCTCGCCGTCGGCGTCGGCATCGGCGTAACCGCGCGCGTTGCATTATGATATTTGTTCCCGCTTAATTTAGCAGGAGAATTTTCTCGATAAATTTCGCGGAAAAACTTCCCCGCTAAATTTAGCGGGTAAAAGGATGTCACGCGACCTCAACACCAATTCAGTTTCCCCACTAAATTTAGCGAAATATTTTCGCGAAATTGTCTCGCTAAATTTAGCGGGGAAATCGACGTCACATGACCTCAACACGAATTCTGTTTCCCCTGCTCAATTGAGCGGAAAAATTTACGCTAAATTACCCCTTAACCTTTTTTTCTGCTAAATTTCCTGCTAAAGTTAGAACGAAAAGTGTTACTAAACTTCACGCATTTCGTTTTATTTCTTTATTGCAAATCCCACAATATTAACGAAAAACAATTATTGTTGTTTATACTCGTGTGTTATATTTGCTAATACCTATGCGCATGTGTCGCTGGAACAACACACACTACATCTGAAGATGTGGTGCAGAGACGCTTTTCGGTTTAAAACAAGGCTATTACTCCGGAGCTATGCTGTTTTTTTTTGTTTTACTGTGCCATATTTAATATTGAAAGAGTTGCCTTTATTTCTAAAACAAACGGGAATTGCACGAGTGTAGGTATCTCAAGAACGAAATCAATATATTTTAAGTAAAATAGGCGCCATCATTATAAAATATTTGTGGTTGTCATGGCAATAAAGGTAACAATTGTAACTGCCTCGCGGGTTGTCGTCTCAAAAGTGGTGTGACAGTCAATGGAATTGCGTTGCAGCAGGTGGAAAAATATATAAAATTGGAATTATGCGAACGCATTCAAGCATTTTAATATTTATTATTCTCTTAAAAAAACGCTATGTGGCAACTATAGGTCATCTCAAACGCCTTGACGAAATCATCAATGATGGCTGGAGTTTAATATTGTCACGAGGGACAAACAAGCTTGATATTGTCCCGAACTCGAGCACAAAGCGTAACACACACGTATAAAAACAATATAACTAGAACGGTATCTATATAAGAGCGTATTTGGTCAGATCAAAGCCAACATGAGTACATAGTGTGGTTTTGGTTGACTAAAAAGTCAGGTTTATATTTGTATATGCCAGTAGTTGATAACTGTTGTTTTTTTCATATATTTTTTATGCTAGTTAGTTTATAGGGATGGACACGACAACTTGCCATCAGTGTGGTACAGTCTCCGCCGAATCAGGAACGAAAGCTTGTTTCTTGTTCTTTTTCAATCTTGGAACTTGTTCCCGTTACGTTTCTAACATTAGAATGCGTCGCTATGACGTTACCTTCGCGCATTTTATGAAACTTTGCGGTGGATATCCCGTAGATCGAATAAAGCGACATGGTGAATATATTAACATCGAACTAGGTGCCGTGTCGCAACGATCGTATTTGTTCTAGTTGGTTTTCGACAATCACTGGGACACTTCTTCATTGATCGAAGGCGGGTGTTGAAATTGTCGATAATAAGAAGCCTGCATGCCTACTTAATTCGGGTAAAATGAGAGAAATATAGAAAAATAAAAAAATCGCCGTTATTTCTGCGTTTTTGTGTAATTATAACGCGGTTCGCGTTTCAGTTCTACCTAAAGCAGGTTGGAAGGGCTTCGTCCCTCTTAAAAGGTACGACGCCTTCCAGGAACGTAGTTCCCTAGAACGCCGCTCCGTACAACACTTATTGCCCCTATACGGAGAGCAAGTCGTCTGCTTCTTGCGCAGGGGTTGCGGTGACGTTAGGAGGACGCCGAGTGCTGATTGGCTTTGATTGAAACGATAGTGGATAGACCTTAATCCTAGATGCCTTCATGTCTACCCACTATTTTTTTTTTTAATCAGCCAATAAGAACTCGGCGTTCTGACTTCATCGCAACCAATGTGCAAGAAACAGACAAATTGGCGCTCCGCATAGTAAAACAAACTCTTCAAAGTCTGGTTTCTGCGCATGCGCAGAAACCAGATTCCTGTGATCTGAAGCGTGTGAGCATGCGCAGTGCCGACGGCAGAGCCACCGCAGTGCCGTGACGTCAGGAAGTTGAGTGGGGGTTTAAGTTGTGAGTGGGAGGGATATATGATTTCTTTTGTATCTTAGCAGTCATACAAATCTGAGTTCTGGATATTTTGGGTGGCTTTTATGGGCTCAGCATATTCCTAACGACGGCAGCAGACGTGAAGAGGACGGAGAAGATAGGGTAACATGTACATCGTACCCGCAGATCCGCGTTGCCTCCAAGATTGGAATCTTCTTGCGCCGCTGAAATCGCTGAAACGAAAATAGTATTACTACTCGAACTTTTAAAAACAACAAAAGAAAATGACAGATTGTAGAAGAGTTCACTCGCGAAAGGATTTCCGCAGATCACACCCGGGAAGGAACAGATGTGTGTTTGGGCAACTTAGCACCGACACATGACAATGATGTTATGGCGGCCCATACTCCGTTTGGTTTTAAGTTCCATACCGGCCGATACTACAATCCAATGGATTTAATCTAGCAGCGCAAAACGTGCATCGTCAAGGTGCTCGTTGTCTTTGTGGGTTTCCCGTCACAGGCTAAACCAGTCACGCAGAGAAGAATCAATCAATCACGCAGAGATTCTCTGCGCGAGATTGATTTAGTCAGTTAAAGCAAACTGACAAAGCACCGTGACCATGCACTTTTGGCGCCGCTTGCTTGGCTCCGTCGGCTCGTAGAGTTCATGGTGGTCAGACTTAAAAAGTGAAACGGGGCGTAGCAGGGTATGGCGTGGCAACCCTGGGACGCGAGAATGGTGCACGCCGCCATTCAGAATGCGGAGCGGGATAGGCATCAACACAGCGTTTCCAAACAAGCCCGCTTTGCCCAGACCAGGTGTGGACACTGGGCGTGCGCAGACACCAAATTTGTGAGGAGTGAAGCGTCTGCGCATGCGCAGTACCGACAGCAGCGCCACAGCAGTAGCTCGACTTCAGTGAGTTCAGTTGTTCTATGAGCTGTGAGTAGGAGAGCAGCGTTATCCCGCGCTCGTGCTTGGACTGCGAGAGTGCGAGAGTTAGAGCAACTCTACTTCGTTTCAGCTTGGCTCCAGAGGCAGCCTACATTATACGAGGCAATGGGACAAATCGAGCAGCATCAAAAGTGCATTTAAATCCACCTTTTCTGTTTATGATTGGTTCGGTGATGATGGCACATATACAGACACATGACAAACACCATATGATGGTTCGCTTTCGGCGCTGTTTGATTGATACGATTAGCTCCTATCGTCGGCTGGGTCTGGACGTAAGGTGAAATGAAGTATAGTGACATTTCTTGGCGTTGCTATAGATTTAAGGATGATGCACAGCGATTCTAGCCTGTAAACTGAATCGCAGGAACACATTCGTTTGTTGCGCAAACCGAACGATCGTCACCGTCACATCTCTTTCTTTATGTCACCACAAACGGCACATAGATTGGCAGCCCTTAAATTCCCTTGTCCCATGGAGCGAAGCCCATGCAGTGAATTGAGGCATGAAATCCCATTGGCTGAGACTAAAGTCTAGTTAAGAGCTTCCTACAAGTAGCGACATTTTTTGAAGCGCCGACTGCATGACGTTGGTATTCATGTTACAAGGCGCGAAAACACGGACACAAGAGAGAAAGAGACAAACAGGCGGTTTTAATGAAGCGAATGGCGGAACACAGCAGAGGTTTGAACTGAATGCCGCCATTTTGTTGCAGCGGAGTGTGTTGTTATTTGTATTGGTTGTCGTTACTTCTAAAATAAATATCAAGAAACTTTAGCTGCGACGCGTCATATTAGATGCTTTCCGCGGAAGCCGCCGGCGCTGCTCAAAGTCAAAGCGGACGCGCCGCCTCAGAAAAAGATAAAACACAAAGAAAAGCACAGCAACGCAGATACATGGTAACGGACACCGTGGGGCTGAGGGGGGGGGGGGGGGGGTGCCGCGCAAGTGCAGTAAGGGAGCGTTATGTCACCGCAGGAGCGCAGTTTGACATAGGAAAGCGTGTAGGAATGCGCTGCGTGAAACGAATGTTTTCGCATTCTACACGTAAGCAGTCATAAGCGCCTTCTTGAATTATATTTATCTTTACGATCCCTGGTCGACGATAAAACGCCTCCTACACTGTGGGGACTTTTCAGATGGTTTGTATGCTGAACTTGTACGCCTTATCATGCAATATATTTATCCTATACCATATATCATATAAATATTTATCCTATCATATTTGTGCTATAGGCATTATACAAATAATACTACACTTTCCTTACACAAAGTATTTCAGGCAGTCTATAGAAATTCTATCCACAATGTAACGACTCGTTCGACTTCCTATACACTCACGTTGTATCGTGAATTTTCAATAGGCTTTTTATTTTTCTGTAATTTTGTTACACTTCTATAGCGGCATTACACCAAGATGGAGCCTGCTTGCGGAGGCTGCTTTTTTGACTGCGACAAATAATTATCGGCTCTTGCTATGCTTTGTAGTCGGAGATGCAGTTAACCAACCCTTATAAACCACGTCTCGTATAAGTTATGTGTGAAAAAAAAAAAAAGAAAAGCACCACACTTGTAGTTTCTTTTATCTTCTGGGATTTTCCTCGTTCGAGCGATAGCCTTTCAAGATTAGGGTATATATATAGCGGCAGAAGAGTCAACACTACTCCGTTACTAATGTTATGTGTACCCCGTGGAGTGTGCATTTGTGGTGTCAGCGTATGTGCACACGGGAAGTGGCGAGCGCATGTTTGTATGAATGCATCGTGACAGACCTAATATATTATTCAAACTTGAAATTTTCTTTGCGAACAACTGACTTACTGTTTTAAGTAGGAGATAAAAACGTTTTGCTGGACAATTTCTACACATCAAGTTCTATAGAAAGTCTACAGAAAAAAAAAACGGCCAAGGAGCTATAGACAGTGGACAGAAAAGTGGATACATTTTCTTTAGAACATCCTTAGCCTCTAGACATTTGTTTTATAGACATTCTGCAAGAAAAGTGGATAACACTTCAAACGCGGCGCTGATGTCCCCAGCCACTCGCTTTTACTGAAGCGATCGAGCTTGTCTAGAATTCATTACCGACGTCAAATAATAGCGATCGTGCTCGGTGTTGTCTGCTTTCAATTTAATCTTACAACATCTTCCACGGGGGGTCCATATCACAAGAGCGAATGACATTTTAGCGAACGGCGACATTTGAGCGAATGGTCGTTTTAGCGAATAACGGGGGCGCGCGTTAACCCATCCGTGGCGCTGCGCTTTACGCCGCTTCGCGGCGACAGTCTGCGGCAACTCATTACAAAAATATGAACTCACTTGGCCCACCCGAAAACGCCGCTTCGCGGCGTCCGACTATTCGCTAAAGTGTCGTTCGATGAAACGTGGGCGTTCGCTAAAACGTCATTCGATCAAGTGAGTGCCTCCCCTTCCACGGGGGAGGAAGCGGAAAGTGCGTAAAAACAACTAAAAAGGCACTTTTATTTTTTTGCCGTTTAGTAAGCGTTTTGAGAACTCCGACTCAAGTTACTTCGTTCCGGGCTGAGAGACCCGCTACTGAACGCGCCCTTTGTCTGCACTGCATCCGGCGAACGCGTTACAACGCGGAACGCCGGGGTCCTGCGTTCGGCTCTCGTATTCGAATGCGTTCAACGAGTGCAGTGGAGGCAATGGCAGCTATAGCTCTAGGTCTATACCCACTAATCATTCGAACCAGAGCTCGGCGTTCTGACGTCAGTGCGCGCTCTCGTCTCTCCCTCTCGCTCAGTTTCTCGGCGCATTGTGACACCGCGCAATACCCAGTAACAGCGCAGAGACAGCGATGTATTTGGAGAGCCTTAAAATGAAGAAATCTAGGGTAAATGTCTTCACTAAGCCGGTAAACTCGAATGTTCGTTGTCATATGCATTGACAGCTTCAGAAACGCACTGCGGAGAGAGACCCGGACGTCTTATTATTACTGCGCAGCTTATGATAGGGTGGCATTACACGATAAGAATGCCTAATATCAAATCACGAAGCGGGAAGCATGAACACAGAAGTCCACACCTTGTGTTTTTTTTAACTCTCGGTGACTATAGTTGGAATTTCGACACAGTTGCCAATTTGCAGTAAATTACCCGTTGATGTACAGAGCAAAAACGTATTTTTGAAAGCCTAGTTAAGCTCGCAAAGTATTAGAATGTACTAACTTAGTTTGAAACTCATGTGCTCACTTAGTTTGAGTAAAGGTTTCTCACGAATAATATACAATTGCCGATGTAAGCGAAATGTTGTAGAACACCTCGTGAGTGTTACCTACGGTACCAAATACCCAGATTAATTTTAAGATGGCAAGCACGAAATATTAGGATTGTGTTTTCATTTGTTATTGTCTCGCGTTCGCTGCGCGGTTCTGTCTGTCAAATATTGACATAGAAGCTACCGTTAAAACAAAGATCCCCGTGTTGAAGCTGAGTAGTTATGCCGAAAAAGTACGATGAAATATTTTGTCATCTATTCCAAGCAATGTATTACAGACGCCGGGATACAGTGGCATGGCTTACCAGCGAGGAACAGCCCAAGCACGACGACTGTGAGACTGGGTGCCATCTTGACTCTAAGAGTTGGATGTTCGATACTACAATGTGAAAACGGATGCTGCAGTGGCTCTTTTTATACCATGTGTTTTAATCGTTTATGGAAGCGAGCTGACTTGGAGAACGTGACAAGAAAGCTCAGTTTGCAGATTGCTTAACAGTTTCAATATCATGCCACTAAGTTCGCATAAGTCTGCATATTCTACAAGAGAGAATATACTGCCGACATGTCTGCATTATTTTCGTTGAGTTTAGTTATCAATTTTTTATTGTTTCTTGTTTCAAAGATATTAATGGGATTCAGGCTTTTTCCGGTTGCCCCTGCGCGTTTTTAGAAGAAAAAAAAAAGAACCAGAGCGAGTTGCAGTATTGCGTTTTCGTATTTCTGTAACATAAACTTTGACTATTTTTGTTATTTTTATACAGGTAGCGCTGGATTTCAAGATCATCTGGGCCCAACATAGGCAACTAGGCAACATGGGTTGAGACAGCTCCTCCGAAACGTACCTTGACACCTCTGGAAGCAGTCCGGTCGATCTTGACTTTATGGCCTCCCATGGGGTGACAAGAAGTTTTGATATAACCCTTTCTTCCAGTTGCTGCGCGTGAACTCACGGTCGAGGTTTGTCAGAATGATTGTGATCTCTGCAAATCGTCATCATTTGCATACGAGAAGTTTGATCGTGTTCGGCAATAGAGAGCATGATGGAAGCATTAATCATCGCGCTTACATAGAAATATTGTTGGAGTTGACATTCTAGCATATACCCTTATTTCAATCTACGCTACCAGAACCAGTTCTACACTATAGACTCCGTGCGACGCGACTGGCGCGCCGCCGCGCGGCCGGTACCGAATGTAGGCAGTGAGAACCCCAGAGAAAACGAAACCGAAATCACGCCGCGTACGTTGGTACGCATTGAAGTCGGAGTGGTGCGGTTGCGCTGGGTTCACAGCATGAAGTGCTGCCTGTGCTGCGTCATTAAGTGCTTCAATAGTTATGCGTCGTATCTCGTGCAGACAAAGTTTCACAGTTTTTCACCTGGCCGACGTTTTGTGGGACAGCGACAACGATGGAGCCGTGCCGTACGACGCGAGAAATTTGGTCTCCCGATCATGTCTGCCACTGTGTCGGCACGGCTGACATACTCTACGCAGCCGCTTTGCGCTCCGCGTTTGGTTTCGTACCAGTAACGCCTACATGTGTCAGCGCCGATGGGACGAACTTAAATGCCATCCCACACTCGCGGGTATGAAGTGCCAATTTCGTTGGAGGAATGCCCTCCAAGGAAGTTTCGTCCCCATCGCACATGTCGATGATATTTCCGGAAACCTATGGCACGCAATATGTACTTCATGAAGAAAGATTTGAACGGTAAAAAAAGTGACAAATATAAATCTAAAGAAAGCAATAATGAAACCCGGAATCACTGGAGAATCGACGTTTGAGTATGGAAGTTTATGTGGTGTGCTTTCTTTCTTTATCAGCCTCCTTTTTGGATGTGGAAACGCTGACACCCCGAGTTCTGTAGACAACAATTTTTTTTCTCGGCTTTAGAGCCACCTATCGCAAAGTGGTTCGAACTGGAAGTACCGTCCACTGGTCCCTCTTCCTCCCTGTAAATTGTGCACCTCCCATGACGAGTGGTATTCTCTTGATAGCCTTTGACGGTCAAAGCCAGTTCCCATTTAGTTACGCCGCCCAAACTAAATTTCCACCTGGTTTCGCTATGCCAACTCTTTTTGTTAAAATAAGTGTTGTGCCAAGTGACAATCATGTCAAAGTACCTGTGCGCCGAAAATCAGCACCTCGCACAGCAGGTTATTGCACAACAGCTGATCGCAAAAGCCCTTGGTGGCCAAACCGTGTGTTGGCCGACAACTTTGTTTTCTCGGCTTTGGAACCACCTTTCGTAAAGTTATTTCAATTGGAAGTACAGTCCACGAGTCCCTTTCTACCTCTAAAGTCTCCACCTCCCCCGACCAGTGGTATTCTCTTGACAGCCTTTTCATGGTCAAAACCGGTTCCCACTGAGTTACGCCGTCCAAACCAAATTTTCACCTAATTTCCCTATCCCACGTTTTTTTTTTGTTTTTTTTGTATATTAAGTGCTGTATCATGTTACTGTCAAGTCCAAGAACCTGTGTGCCCAAATCTGCACTTTGCACAGCCCACTATAACGCAACATTTTGGGCCCAATATTGGATATCCCGTACAGCTTTATTTCTTTATTAGTTAGAAACATAACTTTCACACCTGCTGTCTTAAAGAAACTTGGCACTCTTCATGCACAAACTTAGTGAACCTCTCACTCGCCTCCAAATATCATCGTTCCAGCAGTCCTAGGTTTACAGCGACGAGCGAAATAAATTTCCTACTCAGAGCAATTATGGTGGCGGCCGTCTTGTTTTTCGGAAAATAGCTCCAACTCCTTTTTCGGCCGCAACAAGAGAAATTACCCCTAATAACCACTCAAACTCAATACGTAAGAAGTGGAGAACAGCTAAATGCCCTCTTGCCCCAGCACTCATGCAACGTCACCCTCAACTTATCGGCTCAAAAAGGGAAAGTTTTGTCCGTGCTCGCTTCCTCCGCCACAGCTTGGCATGCGAAAAGGCGCCGCAGGCAGCTGAACGCGCCTCACAGTCGAACGCCAGCTCATCCGCTAGCGGCGCTCCGCGCGTTTTTCAAAGCGCCCCCTATAGTTCCCGCACGGAGTGTATAGTCGGGGACAGGCTAAGAATGTACTAGAAGCCCCGCCTGCATCACGTGCTCAGTGCCTTCCGGAAGGCTTTGGCTGCGCCCGCGACGAATTGTTCTAAAATGCAAAAAGATAGCGCTGGAGGCGGAGAATCTACTGAATGTTTAACCTGTCACCGACTATAGTCGTTATAGCGAGCTATTTGTGATTCGTTAAAAGCCGACAAGAGCGTCAATTTTAGTCACGCACGATGTCACTATACATGTTAAAGCTGCAGGAGGGCTGAAATATTAGGAAAGCTGTAGTTCTGTTCGTATTAGGCGAATTGAAAGTGGTCCTACAATTTTACCTTTAAAGGTCAGTTGCAATCTAATTAAAACCTACGCAGGAATGTAATTTAAAGCGTAAAGGGGAGGAAGTTTAGATTTGCAGATATTTATGGCTTTTTTTCTACTCAGCATGTTTGGTTGTATGAGTGCTGTGGGTTACTTTGTTTTTAAAACTCGGAAGTTTGTAACCTGATCATGCTGTGTGTGACGAACAGAAATGATATGAAAGTGTACGCGATTTTGTGTTTCATTTTTAATGCGTGAAATTCCCAATTTTGATGGACATACTCATGGAGTTTTTTTAAAACTACCAGTACATGCCACTTGTTTTATCCTCAAAATGGCGGTAATTTTAAAATATGCCCACTGTTTTGAATTAAAAAGACTGTCGGCATGCCGAACTTGAGCAGCCCTGCAATATCCCGGAATGGTTCTATATCAGCTGGAGAAGGGTTACAATTTTTTAGTGGTCTATCAATGTGGACCTGACTTCGGTCGTCTAAGAGAACACATGTTGGTTGTCAAATAATCCCCTGTCGGTGCAATGAGGTGGGGTGGCCCTGTGGGCCCCTCATAGGCCCCGGATTCCTAGCCAAATTTGTGTCGCTTGGTTGAACAAGGAATAATGTTTTTTTTTTTAAGAAAGTAAGGATATTATAATTTAATACACAAGAAAATAGTTACTTGAATTGTTCCTTAAACTTTCTTTAGAATATATATGGTAAAACGTATTGGGTTTTTACGAGAATACTTTTAAAGAATGCTTTAAGAGGAACGAGAAAAATAAAAAAAAAAGTTGGTGCCAGAGGACATCAGAGGAATTAGAGGCACAGATAATTTGTTTTTCTAAAAGAGTCAGCGCAAATTATGTGCAGCTAAGGTTGGCTCTCGTAGCTATTGCGCATTGAGTAGACTTATAGATGGCACCATACATAAAGAAATCAATTAACTATATTTTTGTCTACAGTTGCTAGTGTAGATACTTAAATGTATGCTCTCCAACGCCTAGTGTGTGTCTAGAGAACTGAAGAACTTGGAGATGACGAGATTACGTTCATAATTAAAACACGTAGACTTGGGGCGCATTGCCGCGATTGCGGATGTACTCCGTTTTTTGAACGATGCACGGTCATCAGAAAACAAAAAGATAAACTGACACGTGAGATTATAGAAGCCCGCGCCATTGGACAATCGGGCTCTGAGTGTGTTAGTGCCCCGTCACTTGCCTTGACGGAAAAGGAGTGCATGTTTCTACTCAGATCGGAGAGCAGCGGCGCCTGCAGATGACTCTGAACACGTGTAGTCTTCCTCTTGTGTTTCTTTTCTTGGCTTTTGGGCCGGGCAAATTGTGTATTTAGACAGGTTGTCAGTGCCAATAAAGCTCAGTTGTAAGTCAGCGCTGTGTGTGTGTCTACCGCCTTCTACTCTGTCCTTGTCCTTGCGCTGTTTGTTTTCCGCTAATATGAATGACCAACTAGCCCAATCGTCAACACTACTAGTCTAAGAAAGCTTTCGCGATATCCTTTAACATTCTCAAATAGAGCGCAGCATAATAATCGGAATCGATATCTTATTTGACATAGGATTTGCAAGTAAAACTAATAATTTTACCCCATATTAAAACAAATTGATGTCCATGGTTCGAATTAAATCACGTGGCTTGGAGAGAAAATATACAGCTGCTTAATGCGGCAAAAATAATAAAACAAGGTATGTTTTATTGTTTCTTTACGTTCAGCGGAAACGGCCCATCACTCTAAGATATTTATAACCCCTAGTAGACTTTGCATTGTGCTCTAGAGGTATAGAATTGGAACTACAGAAATATGTGCACATTGTGCGTCTGGGGAGAGTCAGTAAAAGTACTAATGAAAAATAAAAATATCACCTTTGCAAAAACAATTCTGCATCAGTGAATCGCGCAGCTATCATTTCCCAGATATGCTAACGTAGGCGACAATATTGCTAGTTTCGATTAATAA